ATGGCAAGTGCTTCCTAAAGTTCCTTTTTAACTTTTTCAATTCTCTGATATTTGGTTAACACAGTTGGCATATTATGTTCCCTCTGGTCAAAGAATTGTGTTTTCTCTTCTGACTGGAACCTTCTTGATATATATTTACAGTCATTCTATCACTTAAAATATTTCCTATATTTTTCTCTTCAGAATCTCTCTTAAGCATGCTCCATTCAGGCTTTCTACACTTATTTCTCTGAAAGTTTCTGGTCAATTACCAATGACATTCATGCTACTAAATCAGTAGTCAGACTCTTGTTCTCAACTTACTTGGCCAATTTATAGCATTTGACTCATTTACTCATTCCTATCTCCTTAAAATATATCCTTCAGCAAGTTTCCAGAATAACTTCTCATGAATTTTCTCCTATCTCTTTAAGATTTCAGTCTCAGTTGCATTTGCTGATTCCTTTTCATCTCCCCGATTTCTTAATACTTCAGTGTCCCAGGGATTGGACTTCTTCTTTCTCTCTCTATTCTTATTTCCTTGTGGGTCTCATCTCATCACATGGTTTAAATACCATCTAACTACTGTCATGTTGATGGTTGCCAAGTTTTTATCTAAAGCCTAGACACATCCTCTGAATTCTTAAGTCATCTATCCAACTGCCTACCTGACTTTTCCACTTAGGTGTTTAATAAGCATCTCAAATATTATATCTGTTGAATACTAATCTCCTGATCTTCCCCCACCCAACTTGTTCTTTCTCTCTTTTAGCAGTGGATGTTAACATCATTTTTCCATTTGCTGAAGACTAAACAGTTGCTATTGTCCTTGATTTCTCTCTTTTTCTAAAATTACAGATCTTATCTTTCAAGAAATCCGGGAAGCTGCAACTTCAAATTATCCAAAATCCAGTTATCAGCACACCTATACTGATACCACTGTGTCTGACATATCTTTCCTGGATGTTTATCAGATCTCATTACTTTGAGATACTGCAGGTTGACATTTAAATCTTTTCCAAATTATAACAAAGAGAAAAAATTAAATATATGAACCAGACGTTAATAAAGGCTTCTTTCCAACAAGAACAAACAACTCTACTATTCTACTGAGGACGTGTTTTAGCTTATTTGTGTAAAGAAAACTTTGACTTAGCCTCTGAGATAACGTATTTAAAATATTGTAAATGGGCATTTCAACCTAGACTTACTGTGATTCCTCATCATAAAGAAAAAGATTAAAATTTTCTGGGAAAGATAAAGGTCATGGTAATGATTAATTATTTGAGTGATCATATAAAGTTCTGGTGATGCTGAATGAAAAGATTGACCTGAAAGATAACAGCTACCTCTTAAGTACAGAAAAAGTTTAAATAGCCGTGGAACTGAGTCTTAGATCATATTAGACTCTGCCTATTACTAAGCTTGGAAATCAGGTACTATCATTAAAAATAATCTCACTACATCTAATCTCTTTTAGGTATTTTCTGCAGAAAGGAAAATTTATTGATTACACCAGACATGGAAATTAAGATCCTTATAGAACATTATATTTATTGTACCTTAAATAGATCATCAATTGATTAGTATGCAATTATTCAATAAATTGGGAAGTAGATGAAGGAAATGTTGAGATTAGAAGGTAAGCTCACTGTAGTATCTTAGAAAATATTCTTAAATTGTAACTATTGTTATGTTTATTTAATTTCAAGGTACAATTTGGGATTAACTTTATATTCATAACATTTTACTGTTCTTCATTTAATCACAGTGTATAGCAGTTTGTTTTGTATAAAATGGTGCTTCTAACTATTTAATGATTGACTCAACAAACAACATATTTTTCTGTACTATTGTTTCAAAATGTTCTAATAACTACTATATGTACTCATATAATCACTTTACTTCAACTTGTTTTTATTGCTAAAATTGGAAGTGATTTTTTTTTTAATATGAAGGTAAACTCTGATAGCTGTGCAACCCAGAGCTTAATTTGTCCCTGATAAGCTACTTTGACTATTGTTGCTAGAATTTATTTCCTCTACATCCAAACAACATTTATTTCCAGGTTTCTAGTGGGGTCAGAGTGGTTGTTGCTGCAACAGTAGGTCACTTATTTAAGGAAAAAAACTCCATTTATCTTATCAGATTTTATAGGTGAGAGTTTAGATACTTATGGGTAAATAAGGAAAATCATTATATAATATTCCCATATTTCATCTATGATACACTGTTGCTTTAAGTACCGCTAAACAGATAGATGACAGATAGATGGACGGTACATATAGGTAGATGGTAGATAGATAGACAGACAGACAGATAGATATATAGATAATATGCAGACAATTAAGCTAAGTTAAAAGATCTTAATAATAGTCCTGCACAATGAAATGTTTTGGTCTACTTTTGCAACTTTCTATGTAAAACTGTATTACTTTCTTCAATGCCAAATTATAATGTAAAGACATTTTAAATAAAATTTCAGAGGCACTAACATGGGAAAAAATATACTTCAAAGAATTGATAAAGTTGAATATTATTTAATTAATTCTGTAAAATAAAAGGTAAAAAGATGAAGCAAAGACAATGTCTGAGGAAAGATTAAGAATATTAACTTTCTTTGCCTGCAGCATAAGTTATAAAGGTGTTATTTAAAAATTTTCATCAGAAGTGTGAAGAATAATCTCATATAGCCTAATTTCCAGCTACATGGGGGGATTCTGGGGGAATAGCTTTCAAATACTCTTATTCCAAATAAGAGGGGTATTATATAAACAGAAAATTTTAGGTAAAGTACAACCACAGGAGACTGTGTATTTTTTTCCTTCAGAATTTCCCAAATTTATTAGACTAAGATATATATCCTCACTGAGACCAGGGCTGGATAATTTATTTGTTCCTGAAACATTTATTAATGGTACAGTGTGTTTAAAGCATTGTTCCTAGTTTGTAGGGATAAAAATATGAATAAAGCATAGTCCTTTGCGGATGAGAGTATGTATGGCTTATAGAACTAAATATATATATATATATTTCAGATCTCACTAAGTATGTTCAGAACTGCATTGTAAATATATTATAAGTGGTCCCCAAAATGCTTAGTGAGATCCTTGTAATTACAAGATTCTACAAAAAGTCCGGAGTTTAACAATTTCTTAAACAATCGATTATGTCACAGGACTTCAAGAACCTAATATTCCTGAGTGACAGAAAGATGTCTACAAAATAGCTTCATGTTAAATAACTTATTTCTCTTCACTAAGTAAGTTGTCGAAATAACTTCCTCTTTGAAAATTATGAGAAAAATATCAGCAATAATTGAAAGGAGTAGTTTGAGTATGTATTGAAGGGGTAATGATAAGTAAAATAACCCCTCCCCCTTTTCTCTTGCTTGTAGGATTGATGCCTAATCATCATTAACAGAAAGGATTTACCCTTTAAATCGAGAGGCCAATGTTGTGACATAAGTTTGCGAAGGGTAGGGATGGAGTCAGGTTGTGTGTATAGTATATAAAATAAGGGCAGATGGAAATGAGTGGCAGCAACACACAAAATGGGCATGTCCTGGAGATGTTCACCAGCGTCAGCTAACCTAGCCACACGTGACAGGCTTAGGATAGAATGGCATTTTCTACAGGGATGCGAAGTTACTTTTTAAAGTACTCAAAGGTAAGGCTGAGGTTAAGCAATGGCAGCTCCAGAGAGGCAGAGTTTAGGGCGGGGAAAGTCACTTTATAATGATGTGACCTTACCCAAGTTACTTAATTTTCTCTCGTTTAAGAGGTTCATAAATGAGGTGCTTTGGGAAATAACAAAGAAAGCTATGTAAAACCTTGTGTACAAATGAGACGATTTCATTTTCCTTTCTTGTTTTACCCTCTATTTGTGCTCCTTATAATCAGATGACCTACTGCAAGTATAAATTTCCACTTTACTTAAGTAAACATGTCAATTTGTCCCCGTAGAAATCTCCTACAATGAAATTCCTGGTTTTGATTTGTATTTGAGTGTGCTTATGCAAAGAACAGTAAGTAAAAGAAGAATCTGAGGAAGACCCTTACAATTGCCTTTTCAAAAATTTCCAAGTAGGAAATATTTCTATGGTTCGACTGTGTAGCAATTTTTAAATTCAGTAAATAAAAATAGGAACATATTGCTTTGACCTGAATATTTAAATAATTTTTAAAAATCTATTTATCCACCACTCATATTTTACAAATGTAGGCAACTTGCTATATTGACCTGAGTTCTTTGCAGTAAAAGAGATAACATGTTGTCAGCCCCACTGAAGTTTCCCATAGGGATCTGCTCTCCTCTGTCCCATCCCAGACGTAAATCATTCGGAAGGTCGTGTGTATGTTTCCCTGGCCTGTCCATGTAATTTTAGTGTGCAGGTATATGGCCCTTAAAATATGTAAAAGGGTTTTGTGAAGTTTTAAAAATTTACACAAACATCACATATAATATATTGTATATCATTCTGCAACTGGCTTTTTTCAGTCAATATTTATATCGCTGGGATTTATCCATGATGATGAACGGATCGATACTTTCACTTTAATTAATCTTTGTCATGCTAGATCAAGTATATAATGTGTTATATTTGAGTAAAATGTAAACTATATTTCCTATATGATCCTGTTGAGTTGATGATTCTTATTCAAGGCCTTTGCAGGTGATCTAAAAGCATTTTTTTAAATTACGTATGCTATCAGCTGAAAGGTTGAGTACTCAATAAAATACAATGGTGTGGGTGCATCTATGTGTGTGTGTATATATGTGTGTGTGTATAGTAAAAATCTTAACCCAAAATAGAAATTAAAAATTATAAGAGAAAATACTATTTTCTGTCAGTATCACAATGGATAATTTTTTTAATGACTACACAATTTTAAAAATAATGAAATCCAGAGAGGAGTATTATACCAAGAAGAATTTATTCTGTAATCATTTTAAATAAAATTATGTACTATATAGAAAACATTCTAAAAATAAAAGCATTATTAAAATAACTAAATGAAGTAAACCACTTTTTTTCTTTGTTTTTAGTGAGGAAATGTTCAAAGCAACTATGATTCATTTGATGAAGAGGTAGCACTTTAAGTTTCTTACTTTTAAATAGAACTCCTAGTGTTTCACATTTTCTAATGCCACATTTGCAGCAACCCATTTCTTAACTCTCGAAAAATCATTTTATGAAAATTGGTGTAATTATAGTCACTGTCAAAAAATTTAGTTAATATAATATTCACAGTATCTTCATAAACTTTTAAAATTTTAATATAAGTTCAGAAAATAGAGTCCTTCCTTTTTACTGAGCTCCAAGACAGAACATAATGTATAAATTCTTTGGATTTACACATTATAATTTAAATCAGGGGGTGTAAACTGGTAACATGAATGCTAAATCCTACCTATGCATTTTGATGGTTTTCTTTGATTGAAATATTAATCTACCTATTTTTATAACTGGGTAATGGACCAGTAGAACCTCTTGGTTGGAAATATATTAATTATATTTTAAAGTGCTGAACACCACTCCCGCTGTGAGGATCAGTGATGGAACATCTTTTGTCACGTCATCTTTACTCAAATCTGGACAAGGAAATACATACCTCTATAAAAATGATTACTTAGCCCAAAATGAAACTAGGAAGTTATTGCGAAAATACAGTAGGGGATATAAAAGGGTAGAGATGTAATTTCCAAAGCAAGTATATGGACACTCTGCAGGTCAGTTCCAGCGATTATCAGTGAATGTCCTCATTTAAAAAAGAAATTTCTATTCCAAGGATATTTTGCAATCATACCTTCATGACGTAATATGACTACCTGGTGCCAGGGAACATTCTGGAAAGGTGTAAGAGGACCCCAAAAATTCTCTGGGGCTCGGGATTTCTCTCCCCATAGGGGTTCCTTCATTCACAGTCTTCATCATCTGCCGACTTCTAGGAAAACACAAGATGTGAATTTTTATTTTGCCTACCTACAGCCCCATAGAATATGTAGAGACATCTGAATATGGCAGAAAAAGTTATAAAGAATGTTAGCATACCTTCATGTCAGAGAGAGCTGGTAGCAACACTTCTGATAAGCACTGAAAGAATATATTCAAAACTCTGTCCCAGAACTGAAATAAGCAAGTCTTGAGTCAGAATGCTGTTCTCATCACCAACACAGACATTCTCTTTCTCGTTTGTCTATTTTATCCTTAGAATTTAAGTGACCTTGACTTTAATGATGATCGTTTCGAAAACCAGCCTCCAGAAGAAAATTTGCCTGATGTTCCGATGTATGATGAATCTCCATTTTTTACATCCCTCTAAAGAACACAAGGTAACTTCAAATTCATTTGTGAATGTAGTAGATCTCCTCTGAAGTGATTTTCTGATAAAATATTACACTCAGACAAAATACTTGTAATAGACAATAGAATTTGTCAGATACAAAATATATAAACTAGGATGCTAGAGTCTGACCAACTTGGTCCATATCCCAGGATCAACACTTAGCAAGAGGATATCTCAGGCAAACTATTGACTTTCTGCATGCCCCAGTTTCCTCATCTGTAAAATGAAAATGATACATGTATTGACCAATAGAGTTATGAGTATCATAGCAGATAAAGCAATACATAGTAGGCAAGTAGTAAAAATAAATATTATTGATTTAAAAAAAATAGTGAGCATTTCTCTCGCAATGAATCACTTTGCTACATAAATAAAACGATAATAAAGATCAGTAAATCTGGAAGAACATTGGTTTCTGTCATAGCTCTTTAACCCGTAAATAAAATCTACATTCCAGATTCAGCACACCTCCAGATACATCTTAACACAAATTGTCATTCTCCCTTTCAACAGATATAAACTCCCAAAAGCAAATATTAATTTCCTTCTATTTCCCAGGAATTCTCCTCGGAACTATCACTTGAGATATAATTTCTACAGCAATCATTAGTATTGTCTGTCTCATTTTACTGATCAGAAAACTAAGATCCAGATTATTAGATTATTTCTTCCACATGTCACATCACATTCTGATGCAGGTGTGATATATGACTTTCCTGCGCTACCTCTAGAACACATGGCCTCCAGAGTCCCAACATCAAGGCAAGAGAGAGTGAGGGAGCACACCAATTCTTAACTGCCATAACCAGGAAATGGCACATAACTTCTCACAGTCCCTTGGTCGGAACTAGACATGTGGCTCTATCCTACCTGCAGGGAAGTCTGGGAAATACAGGGGAGAAGTTAAGCATTTACCCTCTCTACAACAATAACGCTGTGTCTAATAGTAATGCAGTAGTGTGTGTATGTATGTGGGAAGAAGAGAATTTAGAGGGCAATCAAATAAAATTAATACAAATTTTAGTTTAAATTTTGATTTACTAACACCAAACAATTTTTTATTTTTAGATATGGATCTCTGAAACATCTCCCTCCTAGAACATTGATTTGTGCACTTCTAATAAATCAAAATCTTACTCTACATTCTTCACTCAAGAGTTTGGTTCTATTATGATGGCATCTGTGGATTATATCACATGTGCTAATGGAAATGGATAACAATTATAATAGCTTTGGAATTTGAATTTCTTTGCTTTTGCTAATAAATCTCTCTTGTAAGCATGTAATTTATGGCTAAATTTTATTCTCCAAGAATTTACCTATAGCAGTAAAGGCCATTATTTTTTGTGTAGCTTGCCTAATTTTTATGACTCCGTGTTTGTTTTACCATATGCGGATCACATATAGCATCACACCATTTACCCTTCATTTAAATATAGCTAATTTCTTCTGCAAAATAAAAGACTCAAAAATAGTAAAGCATTTACTAAGTAACATATCTAAAGGAATAAGACCTTATTTTGCTATTCCTTGAGGAACACTCCAAGGATACTCATTCAACAAACAGCTTTTCAGTCTCCTTTGTGTCAGGAACTGTTCCACATGCTGGGAACACAGGTGTGAACAAAAATAGCAAGGAGCCCACTCTGATTGAAAGTATATTACAGTGGAGCTAAGCAGAAAATAAATAAATGAAAATTCAAAATGAAGATAAGATTGGGGCTAGAAAACGAAAACATGATGCTGTGATAGTTTTGAGAAATTTCAAAATCGTTTGACAAACTAAATTTAAGCCTCCATTAATTCTACACTTTAATGTAGGAACACATTTTCTGGCTCTTCTCAATGAATTAGAGAGAAGGCTTTAATTAGATATCTCTTCAAATTCTCTTTCTCATATATGATGGATATGAATAAAAAATTATTAAAGTTATATGAGTCATTCGGTATGCAAAATGCAGTAAATCTCAATAATTTTTATACAACGGATAAGAAGTTATCTTTACTTCTTCCCTATTTATTCATTCATTCAATGAATATTTTTGAGTGTCTATTATGTCATGCATGTAACAGAGATGCTGGACATAATCATGCAGGATAATAAGATAAAGTTCCTCTCCTCAGGCACCTTATGTTCTACGTGTGAACCCAGGCAACTGACAAGTAGTTTGCAATAAAATATAGATAGTAAAAACACCTATGAAGAAAAAACACAAAGCAAGCTAACCCAACAGACAGAGTGAGAGGGGCTGTCTAATTCTGGGGGTCAAAGCAGGCTTCCTTAGCAGGTGAGGGTTTGGGCAGAGAGCTGAACCGAGTGGGGGAGTGAATCACACAGAACTCTAGAAGAATGCTTCGGGACGAAGAACTGAAAGTACAAGTGTTCCAAAGCACAAAAGAGCCAGACAAGCTCAGAAAAAAAAGCCACTACTGTGGCTAGAGTGAGTGAGCAAGAGAAAGAGAAGTAAAAGATGACGAGGAAAAGGTATGCAGGCCCCATACATCGGTAATGACTTTTACATTTCACTCTGACTTACAATCTGAAGACAGCAGAATGTTTCCAGTAGAGTAGTGCTATGATTTGATTTTCACTTTAAAAATTACTCTGCTTGCTAAGTGGACATTAGGTCGTTGAGCAAGGGAATAAGGGTGGAACAAAGGCAAGTTCAAAGGTTACTGCAATAGTCTAGTGGAAGACATGGTGAAAAATGGAGATGCTGAAAAAAAAGAAGGCAGAGCAAAGATTAGCTACTAGATTGGGTTTTGGGGTGGGAGAAAAAGACATCAAAATCTATTTTGATTATGTGAAATATGTGATGCTAGTAGACACCCAAGTAGAAACGTGGACTATATAGCTGGATACGTGTATGGTTTTTAGGGAAGAACAGTGACAAGCACTATGTAAGTGAAAGTGTATCTTAGGTAAAGATGTAAGTCAGTACTTCTCAAACTACCTGTTGATGAACTCTTTGTTACAATTTAATAAGAAGATAAGAAGCATCCATCTAGAATGCAAATCAACACACTACTTCCTAAATTTGGGTCCTAGAATTATCAAAGACCTTGGATTTCCATAAGAAATTCTCCAACCTAAACTCCACCCAAATTTCCAAGTCATGACTGAGCATGGTGGAAAGTAGTAGATATTATCAACAGCAAAGTCCTCTTTTCTATATGCTACATATGTCTCTCATCTGTCTCTTCCCACTCCATGCCACTGACTCTACCTAAGTTCCTCTCACTTGAAAGGAAACTCTTAGTATCTCTACCTGCTCTCATTCTCCTCTCCACCCACCCCTTCTCATCCCACTCAGTCTCTCCAGAATAGTGTCTCTCTCTTCAACATACTCTCTCCACTGATGAGAAGGTGATGTTTCTAACACATAATGGAGATATAATAGCAATTTTTGCATTGAAAATGAAATTTTACCACAGCAGGAACCGCTGACTACCTTCTTTGGCTTGTCATTTATGGTCTTCCCCATCCCCTCCCTTACATTTTATGATCTATCTCTCCTCAAATTGATTTTTACTTTCAGCGTAATCATAATCAAAATCCCAGTGGGATTTTTTGAGTAATAATTGATCAACTTATTTATTTTGAAATTTATATGGAAATACAAAACACATACAGTAACCAAGACAAATTTAAAGAAGAAAAACAAAATAGAGGCCTTACATTACCAAATTTTCAACTTAATGTTTATTAAGGCAATGTGTGACTAGACAAAGAGACCATGGAGTAAAATAGAGTCCAAAAATAGTTCCACAGATATATTGTCACTTGATTTTTGACCAAGTACCAATGCATCTTCATCGGAGAAAAGGATGTCTTAATGGATGATGCTGAAGGAAATGGATATCCACACGGAAAAAAATAAACATTATCTCCTACTTCACAACATATAAAAATTAATTTGTATTATACCAAAAACTTAAAGTCAAGCTAAATAATAAATCTTATGGAAGAAAATACAGATAAAGTCATTCTTGACCTTGGAATGGGTAAAGAAGTTTTAGACAAAAGGAATACAGCAGAAACTAAAAGGAAAAATTGACACATTGAACTCCATTTAAAATGGGAAAGAAAAACCCTTTTCTTCTAATATCACCATTAAGAACGTGAAAGGGTAAGCCGCAGATTAGGAAGAAAAAATATATAAATGTTTATATTAGTAAATATAGATATATATATTTACAAATATAAATTTATATAAATCCATATTTACAAAAAAAATATAACATACACATATCTTTTCATATAAAACAAAGGCCTTATTTCTAGTATATATAGATACATAGGCTTATAAATCAATAAGAAAATGATGAACACCCAATTAAATAGGCAAAATACATGAACTGCCATTTCTCAAAAGAAAATATCTAAACAGCCAATAAACTTACGAAAAGTTGACTAACATCCTTATTTACCATAGAAATGTTTCCTTTTCACTTGGACCCTAATTCCCATACAGCTCGATTTATCTCATTTTCTGGACCATCTGACACACTCCCCATCTCCTAAGACCCTTACATTATACCTTAGGAAACTCATGGTCAGTCACCAGCAAATCCACTATATCTGAAATCTCTTCTCTGAATCTTTATTTTATCCCTTGATCTGAATGAAACCTGCCTCATTCCTAAAGACAACATTATTGAAACAAAATCTGAGAGACTTAAATAAATGAAAATATATCATGTGTTTATGGATTAAATGACAATATTTTGAGATGGCAATACTCCACAAATTGATCTATAGATTCAGTACAATTGCTCTCAAAATCCCAGCCTTTTTGGCAAAATAGACAAGATGATTCTAAAATTCAAGTGTACATGTAAGAGATCCAGAATAGCGAAAACAATCCTGAAAAGAAAAAATAAAGTTGGAGGGCTCACACTTTCCAATTTCAAATTTTATTACAAAGTACAATAATCAGGACAGCATGGTACTGATGCAAAGATAAACATATAGACTAGCAGACTAGAATTGAGAGTCCAGAAATAAGACCTTATATTTGTGGTCAACTGATTTTCACTAAGCTGCCTTCAATGGAGAAAGAACAGTCTTTTCAATGTGGTGCTGGGACAATTGTATATCCACATGCAAAATAACTAAGTTGAACCCCTACCTCATACTGTATAGAAATGTTAACTAAAAATAGATAATAGACCTATATATAACTATATGTAACTGCTAAAATAATAAAACTCTTAAAACAAAACATAGGATTAAATCTTCATGACCATGATTCAGGCCATGGCTTCTCAGATATGACACCAAAAGCACAGGCAACAAAAGAAAAAACAGATAAATTGGACTTCACCAAAAGTCAAAACTATTGTGCATCAAAGGACGCCATTCAGAAAATTCAAAGACAATCCACACATAATGGGAGAAAATACTTGCAAACCATATATATGATAAGAGGCTTGCATCCACAATATACAAAGAAGACTTATAAGTCAACAAAAGACAAAGTTTATCAATTGACCAATGCTTATTGAGATACTAGTATGTACTGGGCATTGTGGCTCTATGTTTATTTTAAAAATCATTAAGTATAGCAAATGAGGCTTAATATAGAATGATATTCTGGTGCTGACATTGCACTAAATTTGGTCCTTGATAATGATCAGTCTTTGCCTAAACCATCTACTGAAGATTTGAATTAGATTACCAAAGTATTTTAAATATAATATTTGTCAGAATTAAAGCAGTGCTGACAGTTCTTCCAACTGTATACATTGCCCAAGTAATTTAAAAGCCTGAAATTCAGTAACTCATGACAACTGCTGTATCCTTTTTTCTTTTGATTATTCTTACTATTAAAAAAGAAAAAATATTAAACAGTTCAAGACAGAATCTATATTTAGTTTATGGCTGTGAATATGATTTTTAATTATTCGTTTATAACAGATTTTTTTTTTAACTCTCAGAAAAGATCTTTCAATATAAAGTAAAGTAAGCGGACCAAGTAAAAGTCTTCAATGACAGTCCTAGTAGATAGTGTTGATCAGATAAGCAGAAACCACACACACTGCATACACATATAAATGTCTAAAGTGCAAAGGAAAGTCCCTGAATTCTTTCCAATGCCTGTGCCTATTATAATTCTGTTAATTAAAAAGTTTGTTGACATTCAAGAGTTTACGTAAGAAACACTGTTGCAGCAAAAAAGAAAATATTAAAATTATAAAGCCAAAGAAACCCCAATTTTGCTTTTATGAAACTTTATGCATTGTACAAATACCAGCTTAATATTATTCTTTTTTTTGAGATAGAGATGGAGAAATCAATAAAGTCTATGTGAAATGATATTTCTTCTCTTTAAAATTTTATTTCTGATTATATATTAAATATATAT